ATATTGTACAGAATATATATATATGTGTGTGTATATGCATAAAATATAAAATAATACATATGTTGTTGTTAGTTGCCTTCAAGTTGATTTCAACTCATGGCAACCCCATGTGTGCAGAGTAGAACAGTTCCATATGGACTTCCAAGACTGTGACCTGTCAGAAGTAAATCACCAAGCCTACTTCCAAGGCACCTCTGAGTGGGTTTGAACCACCAAATTTTCGACTAATAGTTGAGCACTTACCTGTCTGTGCCACACAGGGACTGTAATATATATATATATATGCACAGACAAAAATATAGAAAGGTATAAATGAGAAATGAACAGTAATTACTTCTGGATTATAGGAGTAGGTATAACTGTAAGTTTCTAATTTGTTATCTGTCTTCTCTAACTTGTCTACAATAAAGAAAGGTAAAATCTGTATTTTTATATTCCACCAAACTCTTTCCTCATATAGTATACCATCTAAGTTCCATTGTTGTTGTTGTTGTTATGTGCTGTCAAGTTGGCCCCGACTCATAGCGACCCCTCCTTGGATTTCCGAAGCAGTATCATTATGAAAGTAGATTGCCCAACTTTCCTTCAGAGGAGTGGCTGGTGGGTTTGAACCACCAACCTTCTGGTTAGCAGTCAAGTGCCTTAGGCACTACGCTACCAGAGCTCCCAACTTCCACTAAGGAATAATAATTTTCAAGTTCAGTGCCATTTTCTGAAATTGTCCACATTTCCAGCTATTCTAACAAACCTGTTCTAAATAAAGGAAATTAAACATGTGTAAACTTAATATACATCAACTTTTAGGCACCATAAGTCAAATTCCTGAAATATTTACCTTCATCATACATTTCTTCTATTAAATAAGCCTCTGCTCGATCTTTCAGAGCATTCACATTGTCAGGTTCCATTTGTAAAACTTCAGAACATATTCTAATAGCTTCAGTAGGCTTTTCGTCCTAAGAGTAAATGATAGAAAACGATTTATGACTGTCATTCCAGAAGGTTTTACAGCTCGTTTTACAACTGTGAACAAGTCAATTGTTACCTTAGAAAAGCAGTGGCATATCCTTTCTTTTGAACGAATTGTGTATTCAGAAATACTTGGTTCTGTTTTCATTACAGATTCATATTTGCTGGTCGCATCTGTGTACCTGTTAAATGAGCGAATTATAACGAGTAACAATGAAATTCTATTTCCAGAGCTGCTGAAAAGACCTGTACTCTTCACTAGATATTGCTTAATCAATTCACTGAATAAGCATAAGCTTTCAAATAGTATTTTACCCTATTAAATCTAGCATAGCATAAAAGGTGCTCTCTACAATTAGGCATTGGTAGATAAAACACATCACCACAGAAAATATGTAAGGACAAATCAGAGCCTACCTGTGCATACCAAACAAACTAAATGAATTTCTTTACAGAAAAACCTTCATGAATTTGAAACTGAGTAAAGCACCTTATTAAAATCTGGCTTATACCTAACACTTTCAGAAAAACAGAGATCAAGTTTTATTTCTTGGTTACTTCTCACTTTCATGAAGTAATAGCCCATGACATGCCATTCTGCGTAATAATTGACAATATTCACAACCAAGTACAATGTAGATGCCTTGCAGAAAGGACCCGCTTTAAATACCCAACTTCACAATCTTTCTAAGAATAGCAAAAGCCATTTCAGCATTTTTTTAAAAAAACTGAGCACCCTGGTGAAGAGTACTAATAATGTTATATATTAAATTACTTTCCTAGTAGTGGCAAACTAAAAGATTTATCTATATGCCATTAAAAAACCATTGCTGTTGAGTTTATTCTAACTCATAGTGACCCTACAGGACAAAGCAGAACCTACGATTAGTTTCCAAGACTGTAATCTTTATGGAAGCAGACTCCATATCTTTCTGCCACCTGTATCCCATTAGGGAGCTCTGGTAGCATAGTGCCTAAAGTACTTGACTGCTAACCAGAAGGCTGGCAATTCAAACCTACCAGCCACTCCTCGGAAGATGGAGCAATCTACTTCCATAGTGATATTGCCTCGGAAACCCAAGCAGGGGTCGCTATGAGTTGGGTCTGACTTGATGGCACATAACAACAACAACAACAATATGTCATTATAAAAGAAAAAAAAGTGGCAAATTATTCCCAATATATTGCAATCTTCACATCTAAAATGCCAACGTATTAAAACACAGGTTTAAGTATGACATTTAAACAAAAAGCTAGTCTATATCCAGGAAGGTGAAGTAGATGTATTTTTCCAATTCCACCAGTTAAGTATTACAAAAACATATTAAGACTCTGAAAGGTGGAGAAAAGAAGATAGACTGACTAAGGATCTTGAGACTTAGGGAATAACATGGTAGTGAGTTCCTTAGGCTTTCTTTTTGCTTCATATGTCCCAGACTTGGAGCTGAAAAGTAGGCAACCCAAAAAAGTCATGAAGGGCAGACCTCATAGTTCCCCACCACAATAAAAAAAGCCTGCTCTCTCCAGCAAAAAGGATCAGGAAATGGCAGCCTGGTATGACAGAATACTTTTGACATTAACTACTACTTCAGCCAAACACCCTTACCCACATCAGACTTCTACCCTCACAAGGCTATAACAAGGCACCCTAGTATCCCCAACAAGTAAATGTCAGAAAAGGTCAAGTAGGGGTTAGAGAAGGTCAAGTAGGGGTTAGAGAAGGTCAAGTAGGGAGCCTGGAGTTACTTCCAGAAGAACCAAACCAGAAAGGGGCTCACTTCACTCTCCCCCTGGGTCAGTGGAGACTACGAGGAGCCTGAACTCTAACCTTCACCAGGCAGCAGTGAGGTGCTCCCCAACCTTGAGTATTAATAAAAGCCAAGTGGGAAATTTCTACCCCTGCCTGCCAATATAACAGTCACCCCTCCTCAACTGGAACAATGTCAAGGTGGTGGAAAAATTATATATATATATATATATATATATATAGGTGAGTTGGATCCAACTCAATGGCAGTGCATTTGTTGTTATGTCACTAAATAAGATCTGGAGTCTCATAATGTAAAACTAAAATGTTTAGCTTTCAATTGAAAAAGCACTCATTGTATCAAAACAAGGAAGACTATAAACTGAATGAAAAACCAGCCATCAACAGATGCCAACCCTGAGATGACAAAACAGTTAGAATTACCTGACAAAGATATTAAGCAGCCATGAAAGAAGATGGGATTGAAAAAGCACTCGAAATAATAATAATAATAATAATAATAATAGCTAGAAACTTCACAAATTTGACAAGAGATAAAAAACTACAGATTCAAGGAGTTGTACAAACTTTAGACAAGTTTAACTATACTTCCGAAAACTAAAGACAAAGAGAAAAAAGACATCTTATATTGGGGAAGGGGGAACGATTAGAATGACAATGGATTTCTCATCAGAGACTACAGAGGCCAGAAAAAAGGAGCACAATGCATTTCAGGTGGTAAAGTCTGAAATCTTTTCAGTGAAAATATTCTTCAGAAATTAAAGGAAAATCAAGATAGTCTCAGATGAAGGTAACTTAAAAGAATGTTAGCAGCACACCTCCCCTAAAGGAAGTTATCTAAACAGAAAAAAATAAAAAAAGAAGGAAACTTTGAACATAAAGAAGGAAGAATATGGTAACAAAAGTATGGGTAAATACAATAGGCTCTCCTTTTCCTCTTGAGCTTTCTAAATGATGTTTGATGGTTGAAGCAAAAATTGTAACACTGTCTGATATAGTTCTAAATGTAGAAAATATTTAAGACAATTATAAACAGGGAAAGGTAAAATGCCTATGTTTCTTTCAAACTGATAAACTGACAATACTGTAATAAATCATGTATATATATATATATAATGGATTACCTAGAGCAAATACTTAAAAAGCTATAAAAAGAAATATACTCAAAGGCACTATAGATAAATCAAAATATAATTCTTAAAAATGTTCAAGGAAACCACAGAAAGATAGAAAAAAGAAAGCAGAATAGAAAACAAAAAATCAAATAGCAAACTTAAGCCCTAACATATCAGTAATTATATTCCATGTAAATGCTCTAAATATATCAATTGAAAAGCAGAGACTGGCATTTAATAACCTAACTCAACTATATACTATCTATAAGAAACTCACTTCAACTTTAATACCATAGATAAGTTAAAAGTAAAAGATGGAAAAAATGTATCGTGCAAATATTGATCAAAAGAAAGCAGGAGAGGCTATAGGAGGTAAGTACACTTCAGAGCAAAGAAAATTAACAAAAAATAGAGAGGTATATTTTAGAGTAATAGAAGGATCAATTCACTAATAGCCACACCCATCCTCAATGTGTATGCACCAAACAAGAGAGCTATTACAAGTATGAAAAGACAAGCTAGAGAGTGGAAGAAGGTATCTCCAAAGCATATAACCAACAGAAGGACTAATAAAAAATATGTAAAGAACTCTCAAAACTTGACAGTAAAAAAGCAAATAATCCAATTAGAACATGGCAAAACACACAAAGACATTTCACTCACAAAGATACGTAGATGGCAAATAAGCACGTGAAGAGCTGTTCAACATCATTAGCCATTAAAGAATTTCAAATTAAAACTATAATAAAATATCACTACCTTTATCAAAATGGCTAAGACAAAAAATTTTGACAACATTAAATGCTATCAAGGATAGAGAAAGAATATGCTATATTGCTGGTGGGAATGTAAAATGGTACAGCCACTCAGGAAAGCAATTCAGCAGTTTCTCATAAAACTAAACATGCCATTATGCGTAATTGCAAACTTGAGCAGTTATCCCAGAGAAATGAAGTTATGTTCACATAAAAACCTGTATAGGACTGTTCAAAGCTAATTTATTCATAATAGTCCAAATATGGACACAGCCCAGATGCCCTTCACTGGGTAAAAATGGTTAAACTGTGGTACATCTATCTATAGCATGCATTACTAATCTAATCAGCAATCAATATGAAAGACCTAAAACCTGGATGGATCTCCATAGAATTTATTTAACAAAATTATATACACAGAGGACAGACTAGTGGTGGCCAGGAGTCAAGGAAGGGGTGGAGAGAGGGAGGAAATGAGTGTGGCTATAAAAGGGCAATATGCAAGATCTTTGTGGAAATAGAACATAGGAGCTCTGGTAGCATAGTGGCTAAGACACTTGCCTGCTAACCAGACGGCTGGCGGTTCAAACCCACCAGCCACTCCTCGGAAGGAAGGTTGGGCAATCCTACTTCCGTAGTGATACTGCCTCGAAAACCCAAGGAGGGGTCGCTATGAGTCGGGGCCGACTCGATGGCACATAACAACAACAACAACAACAATATCCTAACTATTATTAATGTCAGTATTCTGTTGGGATACTGTACTATCATTTTACAAGATGTTATCATTGGGGTAAACTGCATAAAAGATGCACAGGCTCTCACTGTATTATTTCTTACAATTGCCCGTGAATCTGTAATTACCTCAAAATAAAAAACGTTTAATTAAAAAAAAAAAAAAACCAAGCAGAATTGACACTTAAAATTTATTTTAAATATATAACTGCATCAGGATTGGAGGAAGAGTCATAAACAACCTGCCATATGCAGATGACACAACCTGGCTTGCTAAAAGTAAAGAAGGCTTGAAGTACTTACTGATGAAGATCAAAGACTACAGTCTTCAGTATGGATTACACCTCAACATAAAGCAAACAAAACTCCTCACAGCTAGACCAATAAGCAACATCATCAAATGGAGAAAAGACTAAGTTGTTAGAGATTTCACTTTACTTGGAAGCACAATCAACAACCATTGAAGCAGTAGTCAAGAAATCAGATGTTGTATTGCACTGGGCAAACGTGATGCAAAAGACCTCTTTAAAGTGTTAAGGAGCAAAGAAATACTTTGAAGACTAAGGTACACCTAACCCAAGTCATGGTATTTTCAATTGCCTCACATGCAAGTGAAAGCTAGACAATGAAAAAGAAAGAAGATGCCTTTGAATTTCAGTGTTGGTTAAGGATACTAAAAGTACCACGGACTGCCAGAAGAACGAACATATCTGTCCTAGAAGTGCAGCTATAATGCTCTTCAGAAGTGAGGACGGCAAGACTTCGTCTCACCTACTTTGGTCCTGTTATCAGAAGGGACCATTTCCTGGAGAAGGATATCATGCTTCGTAAAGTAGAGGGTCAGCAAGATGAACTGACACAGTGGCTGCAACAATGGGCTCAAGCACAGCAAGGATTGTGAGGATGGATTGTGAGGACCAGACAGTATTTCTTTCTGTTGTACAAGAGGTTACCAGGAGTTGGAGCTGACTCAACGGTACCCTAACAATGTATCACAACATATAGCTTTCTATAAATGCCATTTACTAATCAACCTGCTAAAATTATTCAAAAGACATTCTGATTTTGTAGAATGAGCAACTCAAATAATGAAATTTGCTTCTTGGATAATTTTTGAAAAATTTTAAAAATGGTTTTGTTTCTTTCCCCCATTCATGGCACCTTGATTTTAAGAAACGTACAGAATTTAAAACCCCAGTATCCTCCACAAAACACTGATAGTCCAGCATTCTCCAGACAGAAACCTACAGAGATAGGAGGAGTCCGAGGACTGAAGCCCACCATACGCAATACTGTGTGCAATGTTCTCCACTCTTCAACCTTCCTGTTCCACCCTACAAACCAACAAACAACACTCACACAAATAAAACCCCTTACTTCTGACAACTCTTGTTTATTCTTTAAGATTAGGATTTAACCATCTGTCACTTTCTCCAAAAAGTCTCTTTTCCTTGTTCCTGGCCTTGACCATTCTGGAATGAATTAAATGGCCCTCCCCAGTACCATTACAGTCTGTGTGTATTTCTATCATCTAAATATCATATTACCTTTAATGATCAGCTTATATTCTTGTCTCCCACACTAAACTATAAATTTCTTTTTTAATATAATATTGTGTTTTCAGTAAAGGTTTACAGCAGTTTAGGTTCCCATTCAACAATTTCTATACAAGTTGTTCAGTAGCATTGATTATATGCTTCACAATGCATAAACATTCTTATTATTTATGTTCTGGTGGTTCCATTTCCATTAATTTAGTTTTCCTGTACCTTTACGTTTTCATCTTTGTCTTAAAAGTAATTGATGACCATTAAGTTTAAACTACATGTTTTTAAACTAAAGTTATAGTCTAATTCATATCTGTACTCCTTATATGTAGCTCACTGCCTGACACAGGAAGATGCTCAACAAATAATTACTGAAATATAAATAAATCTGCTGGTGAGGATACTGTGCAATCATTATTATTTACATTCTGTCTTATCCCCCCCGCCAAAAAAAGTGCATCATTGTGGTAGTTTTGTTAAGGCCCAATGCTGTCTAGGATACTGCTCTCGATGGCTAAACGTAATGGAATAAGCAATTCAACTCTTCCATTGTGCCCACAATCAGATATATAAGGGAACCCCAGATGGCCTAGAAAAGCATATTCTTACCTGCCATCTCTGATGAGCTCTTCAGCTGACTCAATCAGCTTATTAAGTTTCTTTACTTGTTTATAATGTGCAAAACACCTTTTATGATCCTGGTCAAGTTTAAGACATTCACGAACTTCACTGATCATATATTTAAAAAAAAAAGAAAATACTCCAAGTCAAAATAATCAGTGAGTTGTTTCTCCATATCAAATACAGAAATCACAGTGAAAGATATTTATTAATTCAAATTCAAATGATTTATGTAAGATATACATTAGATCCTCCATTTTGTTTCAGCAAATACAATAGCCTTTCAATTGGTTTAAACCACCAGCCTTCTGGTTAGCAGTCAAATGCCTTAGCACTATGCCACTAGAGCTCCTTTAATAATTATACTTTGTGAAAATATACTACACTTACTTCTCACTTACTATCTCAGTATCTGGCATTTTTTTATTTACAACGATAGTAAAATTCAGCTATTTTGCTCATTAATGATATATATCTGCTCATAACGAACACTGAGGTACAAGACAAGAATAATGCTGGCAGTGATGGTTAAGGTTATGTGTCAACTTAGCTAGGCCATGTGGTTTGGCAGTTACAAAATGGTGAAATTTGGCCATCATGTAATGATATAAATGGGCAGTTCTGTAATGATGTAGTCATCTTCCACTTTGTGAGCTGATGTGGTCATCCTCAATTTCACATACTGTCAACTTTCCGGTAACAACCAGGTCTCTGAAATCTAACCCATGTTGAGAAGTGGGGAATGGGTGTATGTGGAATTAGAATAACTCAGGGATAGTATAAAACTTAAAAAAAAAAAAAAAAAATCCCTGCCATTGAGTCAATTAGAAAAACAACAAAACCCGACAACAATAGCA